TCCTGGCTTTGACTACTCAACTCCCTTAGGATCAGGGTCTTCCTGGCAGGAGCCTTCCCCCTTCTCGGCAGCTTCCTGTTGCCCTTTATAGGGGAATTTGCTGCCTTCCATCCATGCTGTTAACATGGCACAGATGGCCTGGAGCAGTTCTTTCAATGATCCTTGTGTAGTGTCTGCTTGGGGTGGATTTCTTTTTTTTAATTATTATTCCTTTCTCTTTGTATATGATAGTGTATAATATTTTGATAATGGTCTTTTATGTTTTATGTGAATAAAGGTGTTTTTCTTGTTACCTTTCTCTCTCTCTCATATGTATAATACCTATACATATCCCATCGTAAAACTGCATTGTGAGGATGTTAAAGCTGCCCGTTTAAGCTCTCAAAATTCAAAAACATATGAAGTTGAAGTTGTACATGCAACCTGAATGCTGCTCCCTTGTGCATATGCATTCCTATGCAGTCTTTGGTTACATGATCACCTACTATTTCTCAAACAATACAATAAAAATACATAATTTTGGAGTCATGCACTATGAACCTTCTATGAGGGAAGGGCTTTCCTTTGTCACTTGCAGGCCTGTCTGTAGGAGATAGGTACCACTCTCTTAGGTGGGTTCTCTCCCTCGCTTCTTGCAGGTTGGCTTCTTTACATGTTTTTTTGCAAGTGGACTCTCTTCAAATTAGTTTCCTATTATTAATGGTGCCCTCTTCTTACCAGAACAGTGTGGAATTTTCCTTCTTTAAATAGTTCCTACATTGCTCCAAAATCTCTCACAAGTAGTCTATACATTAAAATGGTTTTACTCAGGAGCCCCAGGTATTCAGTGATTCTGAGGCCAGTGAGTTTACCTCTTGGTTTACCCTTTGCAGTAGACCTTTGCTCCAGAATTTAAGCTTTCATTAGACAAGTGTTTTGCTGTCATGGTTGCAAGGATATCTGATGTTGTCCGATTGCAAGTGCAATCTGATGCACTGTTGCCTTCCCAAGTTTACAGCACAACAGCTCTGAGAGGTGCAAATCAAACCATTCATCTCCTTAGCTATTAACTGAAACCTACCGATTTTGACTTAAATGTCAATATTAACTACTTTATTGCTCAAGTATCAGGGGGTAGCCGTGTTAGTCTGTATCCACAAAAACAACAAGGAGTCCGGTGGCACCTTAAAGACTAACAGATTTATTTGGGCATAAGCTTTCATGAGTAAAAAAATCTCACTTCTTCAGACCCACGAAAGCTTATGCCCATATAAATCTGTTAGTCTTTAAGGTGCCACCGGACTCCTTGTTACTTTATTGCTGTTCATTTTGGCAGAAGCATCCAGCTCAAGGGCTCACACCATAATCCCCAAATAACTCTTTAGTAGCCAAATGTCAAAACTGTGCCACTAGCTGTCAAAACCGCAGCTTCCACCAACAACTTCTTATTATAGTGTCAATACAAAAACACTGAAAGCTGATAACGTGGCGGAGGAGGGGGGAGGGAAGTGTACAATGAATGTAATTTGACAACAAAATAAACAACATAGGAACAATTTAGCATGGTAGGCTTGTTTGTTACTTTTTAATTCATTCATTAAAAAAAAAGTCCATTTTAAAATTTAAATTGAGCTGCTGCAGAATTTCCATTCCTCTGCACCTGGGTGCCACAAAATGCAGGAAACATGCCTCAGAATTTAGGTGCAGCTTGATACAAAGTTACAGGGGCCTTATCCTTGTCCCATGAAACCATGTATGGGACATCCCATCCTTTGTTTTTATCCTAAATAGCTGCCTATTTGCTTCTTTCTTGACCAACTGGCATCCTCTGGGAGATCTGTTGACACTCTTAGAAAACTTGTAGGAGTTTTTGTCCCTTCACAAATTGTTCTGCTGTGCAGGAAGATTCTCTCAGGCCCCCTAGCTGCTGGCTCCTCAGGTTCTGTACGAGTCACCTGTTGCTACTGAGCATTATTTATTTTTATTTGTTTCTTTCTTTAGCTTTTAACAACACTTATCTCATACTCAAGGTGCCTCACATAAATTAAAGAGATGATATTCAACACAAACTATTATGATCTTACAATCATTATTGAATTGGCATTACAGCATTACCACAAGCTCAGTGAGTAATCATTGCCACAATCCCAGTGCCATCTGGTTCATTTGTGAGTGCTCAGGCATAAAGAGCCCTTGAGTTGAAGTCACAAATGTGGAGAAATTGCTGGGAGAGCCGATGTTTAGGAGCGCCTGTGTTAGGAGCGCCTGTTTTTAAACTCCACATAACAAAAGCGGAAGAGTGGAGATTATGCGGGCAGGGAAGAGGAACCAAGAGGAATAATTGTTTTACAATTTAGAAAATAAAATTAAATGTGAGGATACACGCAGACTAGGTGGATAGCACGTGACTTAGGAATTTGAATGCACTCGTGGGATTTCCATAGTTACACTCCATTCTCCATAGCTACAACTCCATTCTAATAATTTTTAAAACATGTTTTCATGAAGTAATTAATTTTTACTAATGTTACCACATTTTTCCTTCAGAAATTTTTCCTTTCTTAATGTATCTTTTTCTCTATCTTTTGTAGTGTGTTTTTCCTCAGTCCTAAATTTCGTACTCTGCTCTACAGCTTCTGGACATTAGATGTAAACACCACCATATCCCAGCTATCTCGGTGCTTTGCAGAGATCCTCATGTGGATGAAGAGCACATGGTGAAAGTCCAGCCTCTCTGTCACAATCACCCATAAATACACTGTTGTCCCCAAGCTCTTTCCCTATATACACAAACACATTTTCTCTTGCCTCCTGCTCTGACACAAACTCTTGTACCCTATTCCCTTACAGCTCCCCCATTCTCTGTGAGGCACTCACATACATTCCTGTCCCCAGTTTGCCCTGTTCTATTGCATATAGGTTCTTATTCTGTGCTCATCATCATAGTATCTGAGTGCCTTCCAGTAGCACATTAAGCAGCTTGACTAACATCTGTCATGTGTTTGGTGTTTTGCCCTCTCCACATGAGGAGAAGGATGTGCAGCTAAGTAATTTTTTGTGGTAGCTTTTCTTTGTTTTTTTTTTGGGGGGGGAGGGGTGTTATTTTTTTTTCATATATATATATATATATTTGTGATCCTACTCCACCACACACACTTCTACTATTTGTTCCCCCATACAAACACTCCTGACGGTATTTCTCTCTCTTTGAAGATCTCCCTTGCCCTACACACTCCTGGGCCTCTTCTCCCCAAACACACATATTCATGCACTCCTAGTCTGAACCATTCCAGTTTTTTCAACCCTAATTCAATAAGGTTTAATTAAATAAAGTTTATCTTCATCCCATAAAGTTTGTTTGGGATATTACAGGATATTGTCAGTCACTCACACTCTGATGAGGATAATAGACAGCATTGGGCCAGTGACATATCCTTGTGGGACCTCAGTAGAAACACCCCATTTAATGACCATTCCCCATTAACATTTACATTCTGATCTCTATCATAGATTCCAAGGCCAGAAGGGAACACTGTGATCATGTAGTCTGACCTCCTGTACAACACAAGCCGTAGATCTTCTCCAAAATAATTCCTAGAGTATATATTTCAGAAAAAAATCCAATCTTCATTTAAAAATTTGGCAGTGATGGACAATCCAGTGTGACCCCTGGCAATCAGTTCCAATGGTTAATTACTCTTTCTGTTAAAAAAAATTTATGCCTTATTTTCAGTCTGAATTTGTTTAGCTTCAACTTCCAACCATTGCATCAGGTTATGTCTTTCTCTGCTAGACTGAAGAGCCCATTATGAAGTATTTGTTTCCTGTGTAGGTACTTTTAGATTCGAGTCATCCCTTAACTTTTTTTTGTTAAGCTAAATAGACAGCTCCTTGAGTCAGTCACTGAAAGGCATGTTTTCCAATCCTTTAATTATTCTGGTGTCTTTTCTCTGAATCCTCTTCAATTTATCAACATCCATCTTGAATTGAACTGGACACAGTATTTCAGTGGTGGTTGCACCAGTGCCAAATGCAGAGGTGAAATAACTTCTCTACTTATACTCAAGATACTCTTGTTTATGCATCCAAGGATCACATTATCCCTTCTGGCAACACTGTTGCACTGGGAGCTCATCAGGGAGCCATATGCAGTTTTTAATCCATTTACTATGCACTACATTGCTTTTGTATAATGCTGATTTTTTGATCAGGATGTGTGGTCAAATACCTTACCGAACTCTAAGTCTGTTATTGCAAGAGTTTATCAACCAAACTTGTGATCTCATTACAAAAAAAAATCAAGTTAATTTGACAGCACCAATTTTCCATAAAATCAGTCTTGTCTTGAGGTTGCTCATAATGACAAGTGTATCCAGAGCTATATAGTGAAGGTCTATAAAGAGAGCTGTGTAAAGGTAGTGTGTAATGAGGGATATATAAAGATAATTATATTACAAGTGGACATTAGGGAACGTATCGAGAGATTTATACGAAAGGTGCATATAGAAAATTGTGTAGAGGTTTTCTTAGCAGGGAGGGGGCTGGGCAGTATATAGACACAAGGTTAATGTTGTCCCTCACATACAATTTAGTGTCACAGTACACTTGGCAAGCAGGGCAGTTTATGAAAAGGGAGAAGTGGGCTCCAACACATTCCTATGAATTGAGGGATTTAAGGAATTTACAGTTTTGTCAAACTTCATTGGGCAGGAGAGTTCCTAACTAGGGATTGTGTGTGTGTGTGTGTGTGTGTGTGTGTGTTAAACTCACTCATCCCACTGCCTTTCTTGGAAATCTGTTCAAACAGTTCTAGCAGCTTGTGAGAGAGCTCCTGCTTTAGAGGGGGGATCAGGTCCATTCCAGCACAGACAGACAGTAGCCTTTCAGGACTGTCTCCTTTAAGATGTATGTGAGGAGGCTGACTCTGGAGGAGGAGTTATGTAGATTACAGATGAACATTCTGGAGTGGAGGCGAGAAGAGAGAGGAGAGGCACAAGCACAGGCAGGGCAGGGGAGCACAGGCAGCCAGGCAGCAAAGGCCTTTCCGAGCAGGAGGGGGAGGAGGAGGAGGACACAGAGGCGGCTGCTGTGCAAAGGAAAAAGCCTTGCAGGAGCTGCAGCTGTACTTGGACGCCACATTCCCTCCTTACGGGACTGAGGATGAGTAAGAGCTGACCCTGCTGCTGCTGCTATCTGTGTTGTGGAGTGAAGTGTCTGTTTCTTCTCCTCCTCCTCCTCCCCTGTTGTGGGTGAACCTGCATTAAAGGTTCTTCACCAACACTGGGGACTGTTTGTTTGTGTAAGGGGAAGGAGAGAGAGCAGAGAGAAAGAGACTCTTCCATCCACTGAGGCGCAGTTCACTATGATCTTACTCGCATTCAGCACTGGAAGCCGGTTGGATTTCGTACATCATTCCAGGGGGTTTTTCTTGCAAACCTTGCTTTGGATTTTATGTGCCCCCGTGTGCACAGCGGAGCAGTATTTCAATGTGGAGGTAAGATCAGCCGGGTGTATGTGTGAGTGTGTGTGTGTTTCCTTCCTCCTTCCCTTTCTTCCGAAGGCTGTTCCCCAATATTTGGGCTGATTCAGTAAAACAGCTCCCCAGCCATGTCTCCGGAGCAGCCAAGACACACATGCACATTGGCTTTGCTTTCCTGCAGCAGCCAGCTCTCGGATCCGAGTTCCCTTGTCTGATGGATGCCTGTTAGCCGGAGAATCCCGTTATCCTCGGCAGCCCAGAGCTAGACCACATCATTGTGCCCGGGATATGCCGGGAAGATACGAATCCCGAAACACAAGCCAGTGGCATAATAAAAGGAGCAAGGGTATATAATACCCAGACAGCTCGGAGAAAGCTGCAGGGATACCTTTGACTTCAGATGTCTTGCTGTCTTAAACAAAGGGGAAAAATAAATGAAAGAGAGTCTAATGTGGAGGAAGGGGGGAGGGAAACTTGATATGTTAGTATATCTCCTTGTCAAATATTTAAGCACAAAAGCTGGTCTTTTTCTCATTTAAGCATGACTGAATGCTTGTTACTAGAAATGCCTAAATAAATGCCATTTAGGTGCGACTAAAGTTGGAGGGTGGGGAGAGCCAAGAAGGAATTAGAAAAAAAGAAGAAGTAGAAAAGTGAATTAAAATGAATAGCTTCCCAGGCAGGACTAACCCTAGGAATTTTGCTGCCACAGTGAGATTTCAGTGTATGCCCCCCATTTCCAACCCCTATTCTAATCCACCCCACTTTTTCAGTTTTTATTTTTTATGTTATGCTTTCCATTAAGAAATATTTGTTACTATGTCTCCTCTGTGCATATTCTTCCTTCCTTTTTTTCCTTGCCTTTCATGGTGTATCTTGATGCATCCTTTTCTGCAGTTTGGTTTCCTTTAATCTGATTTTTCAGTACTGTATAATACTTCCCTCTCTTTTCTTCCCATCCACCCCGGTCCTTCACCTTCCTTTCTTTCTTGTTCTGTGTATGTCTCCCTACTTTACACATTTCTTTCATTCTCTCGCTCACACTATAATTCCATTCTTTTGTTATCTGCCCATACTCCTCACTTGCTTCTCTCCCATCCATCCTGCTTTCTGAACTTTCTGCTGCATCCATAGACCATACAGACCATTTGTTCCTATCTCCAGACTGTCTCTCACCCACACACTTGTATTCCCTGAACTCTTTCTCTAGCACAAATATACTCTTGTCCCCAACATCTCTCTCTCGCTCTCTCTCTCTCACTCTCTCACACACACAAATGCACACACACACACGCACACACACACACACACACATTTCCTCTTTCTCTTACATAAACTCCTGTTCCCCTAGCTCTCACCCACTTACATACATTCCTGCCCCACAATGAAGAAATCTCCCTCAGACGCACCCCTGTCCCATATCTCCTCAACCCCAGACACATCTGTACTTCATATCAATTATGCCTCATCCAAGATCTCCCCAAACACACCTGGTGTCTTCCACAAAAAATCTCTTCCAGGGTAGACATTGGGTCTACCCCCAAAAATCTCCCCCCAGACAGACCTGGTCCCCTTCCCCATCCATGTTCCCCCCCCTCCACACACACACTCGCTCACTTCTAGTCTCCCCCTGCACACTGTTGGTCTATTCCTCCAGGATCTCCTCCCATACACAATACAAGTCTGTCTCTCCCTCCTCACCCAAGTTCACCTCTCCTGCACACCCACTTCTGGTCTCTTCCCATCCCAAGATTTCCCCACTGATCCAATACTAGTCTCTCCCTCTCCACCACCAAGAGTTCCCCCCACCACACACATTCTCCAGGGGTCACTTTCCCAAGATCTCCCCACACACACTCGTGGTCTCCTCACATCAGTCTCTTCTCATGTAATCCTGGTCTCTCCATGCCATCATTAAGATTTCCTCCCCGCTCAAAACTCCTGGTCTCTTTTGCTCCAAGATCTCTTCCTCTGCCATTTCTGGTCACTCGTCCTCACCACCAGTATCTCCAACACACACACACACACACACCTTTTCTCTTTCCCCTAATATTTCCCTCCCCCTTGTGTTAGAGTGTAAATTCTTTGGGACAGAGACCATGTCTTTCCATCTGTTGTACAATATGTAGCCCAATGGAGCCATGATCCTGATTGTGGCCTTTGGAGGCTACTGCAATATAAATAATAACACTCACTTCTAGTAATTTTCTTCATTTCCCTCAGTATTTTTCCTCGCATGCAATGCTGCTCTGTTTCCTTCCCCCTAATGTTTCTCCCACCCTTCCGAGCTGACGTGCACATTTTGATTCTTCTCTCAACCATGTCCCCCGCTACACTGCTACTTTCTCAACTTCATTCTTTCATTGGTGGATATAAAAGGAAGCATAGAGGAAGAGAGGAGACAGCTTTGTGTACCCTTTCCTGTCTTCCCTTAGTGGCCCCCTGCTGGGGATATAAAAGAAATTTCAGCTACAGAAGAACTTCCTCCTCCCTTTGTAGACTTATTTGCTGGCTGCTGGTTCTGCTGGAGAGATGGGCAGTAGATGGAGTTATGGTGGGAGGAGAGAGAGAATGTCATAGTCTAGTGGGGCACAAAGGGGAGGCCAACCACAACACGTGAGAGGTTTTCAGGGGAAAGAGGAGAAGCCAATTTATTTTTTCCCCTCTCTTCGATATGGAAAATAGCAGATTTTGAGGGGGAAGAACCGTACCACAAGGAAGGAAAGCCGAAGAGAGGGGGAAAGTGCTTGTACTCATGAAATGCCATTCAGGTTCTCTATTCCTTTAGAGGTGTCTCATCTCCTGACCCTCCCCTTCTTCCTGAAACAAAATGTGTTCCATGCTAGCACTTCCAAGGTATTTTCATATCCTCACAGCTTTTCAGTTGTCTTTTGTTGTAATATCGAGAGGTGCCACAATCACAAAGCAGAAGGTAATGTGAGGCAAAGGACTTGGCAACAATGTAGTGACACTGTGCCATACAATTCTGTGCGTCAGCATCAGACCCATAAAACACTTACACTCCATAATAAATCAGTAAAATGGAATATGACAAATTCATTCCAAGATCCATTAAAATACACATAGAAATTAGGGTGCCTTAAAAAACTAGTGCCAGTTCGGTTGAATTCAGTTCCACTGAATACATGTATTTGGAAAACAGACTGTGATGTGATTATTTTTATGCTAATTGAGGTTTCATGTGAATTTAGAATTTTATTTTTTGATTTTTATACTCTCTGATTATAGTAAAATTTGGAGGAAATATTGATGATAGGTATTGAACATTGGAAATTCTGACTGATATAGTCTAACATTTTAGGTGTTGAATAAAATTTGTATAGAAATGCTGGCTTTCTTGGTTTCCAACTTGAGTTTGTAAGACTGAACCAGAGCACGTCTCAAGGGATACTACTGAAGTTCAAAGAGATTAAGTGTAGGTATCATCTTCTAAGACAAAAAAATAGGCACCTGAACTTTATAATTGGCATGACCATTTTTTAAAAATCATATTGGTTGTTTGTAAAACTTGTTCTTGCTAAACATCCAGATGGAAGTGGGTGAAGGTTCTGCTTCCAATGATAGCTGACGTGTAATTTCTGAAACACGAATGTCACTGATGACTTTCATATGGTACATACTGTTTTAATAACTAGACGTAGCTGAGTATGATGTAGGTCAGAGTGAGAAATGTAAATGACAGTCATTTATTTATTGCGTTAACCATAGTATTGCTCTCACACGCTCTCTGATGTCAATGAAAATTTTGCAGTGGATTTAGATAAGGCAGGGCTGTAAATCCACCATTTATTTCAAGTATTCATGAGTGCTTTGAGTAACAATATTTGAGATCTAGGATTCATGTAAGACTAGTTTTAGGAAGTTTTAGCTTTTATTTTCAGAGGTTCCTGGTCATCACTGGAGTTTTGGAGATCACTTTCTAAGGTGTCACCTGCATCAAAGGTTAGGGTTAAGGTCCAGATTGTTAATTCCATATTACTCACATAAGTACTGCCATCAAAGTCTGAGGTTTACTTGTGTGAGTGATTGTGCACCAGAGGTTTTCAGTGTTTCCCTAATTTTTTAGTTCAGTCTTACTCTACAAGTCAGATGCATCAGTGGGATAGTAAATGGGATAATAGCTATTAACAAAATATTTAAAATTCCGATTTTATCCTACTAATTGAGAGAGCTTTCAGTATAGAATTCTTGTAATGACCTGGCTGGATTTTCCCCTTTGAAAATCTATGTAGGATAATGGATTTCCCAGGCAAACAATTTTTTTCCCACTGGTTCTTCATTATGTTAACTGTTTCTTGCGTTACTAGATACTATATATTTCTAGTGTTTATAGGCAATTTCCCTGTTAAAGACCCAAGCAGAACTCTAACACTCATAGGGTAGTTACAAATATTAAAGAGTAGAATGTGACCCTTAAACTTGTAATTTTGTTGATAACTATTTTCCTAAAGCTGACATTTTCTATAATTTAAGAATTTCTGTAATTATTTTTATTTATATTGTATTAACAACAGTTTCACCTTTTTAATAGGTGTGTGTGGGTGGGTGGGGGGGAGGGGAGGTATCAAAACCCATTGAAACAAACTACCTATATCAAAAGACAGGGTAGGAGCACCTTCCTCTCCCCAACTCTCATCCTGCCTACCCCATCTCATGTTGAGTAGCCCCATCCAAGTTATTGCAACTATGCATGTGAGTAAGGAGTACTGGGTGAAGAAGCGTTTGGAGGATCATGTCTAGTCTCGCTAACTGCATCAGTGTTGTGGGAAATACTAGAGGGAAAAGTATGGCTCATCATCTCTTTTCTAAAGCAGACTGTTATGCTATATTTTCCGTCTTCTATTGCTAAATATATATGCTTGGGTCCCTAAGGGGATTTTAAAGTGAGTCCTATTTTAGTATGAGCAACACCTTAAAACAATACAACCTTCTTTTTCTCCTTCCCTCCTTTTTAAGTAAGTGTGACAGTTAAATTGCTTATTGTGGAACAAAAC